GGCTAGAACTAGCTCCGTTCGTTTATGATATAACTTACCGTCCCGGTGAAGACAACAGCAAGGCAGACACTCTCTCTCGTATCTGTAGTGCTTCCACTTCTACCAACTTGCTCCAGCTTCACCAATCTTTGTGCCATCCTGGTGTTACACGTATGCACCACTGGCTCAAATGTAAGGGCATTCCCTATTCACTCGAAGATGTCAAGAAGATGACTTCAAGATGTACCGTCTGTCCTGAAGTAACACTTAGATACTTGAAAACTTCTGGAACCCTAGTTAAAGCCACATCTTCATTCGAATGCATCAACATACATTTTAAAGGGCCTCTCCCTTACAAATCACGGAACTTCTACCTCCTCACGATCATTGACGAGTATCCCCGTTTCCCTTTTGCATATGCCTGTCACGATGTTTCTGCTGCCACTATGGTTGAGTGTCTCAAAAACCTCTTCTGTTTGTTTGGAATGCCAGCCTATGACCACACTGACCGGGGAGCTTCCTTCATGTCTAGGATAGTCAAGGACTTCCTCCATTAAAACAGTGTAGCCACCAGTAGAACAACCCCATATAACATAGCGGGAAACGGGCAAGTTGAAATCCTCAATATGACCCTGTGGAGAACTATTTGTCTTTCTTTGAAGACTCAAGGACTGCGGACGGAGGACTGGGAAAGGGTCCTACAGGAATCCCTCCACGCTATAAGTTCTCTAATTTTCACAAGGACTAACTCCACTCCCCACGAACGCTTTTTCAGTCATCTTCGCCGCACAGCCAATGGAGTCACCTTGCCGTCTTGGTTAACCCCTGGTCCTGTGATCGCCAGAAGGAATGTGCGACTCACTAAATACGAAGACCTTGTCGAAGAAGTGGAATCACTCGAGGCTAACCCACAGTACGCCCAAATTCGCAATGAAGGATGGATCAAAGTCAACCGTGTCCCTGAGACAATTGGCACCTAGAGGAACTCCTGAAGTGTTGGAGCAGCCTTGCTCTAACAATGATGAATGTACTGCAATGTCGGAGCCCTCTCACATGTTACATCCAGAAGAACCCTCTGCCGCTCCATCTGTTCACGGCCCTCCCTCTAATGAAATTGGATTCCCTGTGTGTTCAAGACCTCCACGTGTGACCAAGGCTCCTTCTTACCTTAAAGAATATAACTAATTAAAAACCATGATGTTGCAAATCATGAATAATGTTTCAAATTTCTCTTTTGTATCTAACATTGTACTTTTAAATCTTACCAGATGTTTTCTCAAAAACCAAAGATGAATGTGGTGATTTAATCCCACTCCTGTGGGGTAAACCTGAACTTCTTTGTTTAACCCGACTTGTAACCATATTACCTTCTGTAAATTCTGTTGATGTTTTTAAGTTAGTAAAAACCTTTCTAAGGGTAAGACATTCGGTTTTCTTCCACCACACCACCTGCTCTACAGACAAGCGTAGACAGACAGATGTATTGTAGATAGAGGGAGGGGAGGTTGTAGATGAAGCCCTCTGCAACTCTTAACCAAAAAATGTGAACTAAATCACAGGAATGTATATGATTGACTACTTGAAATACTACACTTTTAGAAACACTTCCTTGTTTAAAAAGCTTTAATACATTAATTAAGTGAGGGTTGTAGAATGTAACTAAAAGTACCCGTTTTTTTTTTCTCCAGCGAAATTGACTACAATAAATTATTGTAAAGCTTTAATTTATTTTTTTTTTTGTTTCGTGGAAAATAATTTTTGCTGTAAACTTTAGCTATTATAGGTGACAGGATATCATAACACCTCATTTGTTTTACATAACGTAAGGTGAATCTCACTTTATTTTCTGAATCAACGTCAACTCAATTAATACGGCCTTAAAGCTTATTAAATAAAGGAAGTTTATTTGTAGTATAGTTGGAGGGTCGTAAAAAAAATGGCGAATAATTCATGATCTTTTAAAAAGCAGGACTTATCATAGTTTATCCGCTCACAAGTCCTCTTTAAATGGTTTTAACAATTACACAAATTCTACTTTCACTTGAGTAAGTAAGTAATTCTATTTTATATTGATTACTTAATGGTTGACCGTTGTATATTTAAGAGAAAGGAGATGGTCCGGGGTGGCGGTCATAAAAAGACTAAAATAGCGGATAAACTATTTTATTTCAAGCCAACTTTTCCACTATTATAAATTTTATTTTAGTATATAAATATTATATAAATTAATTATATAAAATAAAGTAGTTTATAGATATTATTTTAGTTTTTCCACTATTTTAGTTTCTTAACGACCGCCACCCTGGACCATCTCCTTTCTCTAATTCTACTTTAGTTTACAATGAAGTAATTTTTAATTACTTAGATTGAATAGTATTTTAGTTATTGCTTCCTACTAACAAAAACTACAAAACTTTAATTTGCTACTTCCTACTGAAAACAGGTCATTGTTTATATGAACTATTTTGTAACTCTTAACGCCTGATATCACTTTTTTGAAAATTTCCTTCTACTTACGGTACAGTTTACCGGGTACACTCTGTATATATAATAAAATATAGAGTAAACAGATTTATCATATTTTATATTAATCGTTGAACTTTTATATTTGTAGTTAAAGTAATTTTCCAAGTTTAATAATTTAATAAAATTAATTTATACTGAAAATAGGATATTAAGTAAAAGATAAAAAATTTTTACTTTCACATTAAAAAAAAACAACATTTTTTTCAATGAAAATCCTACCAAACTTGAATAAGAAATGTTGCTTTGATATTATATATAGCATTTCCAAGTCAATTTCAACCTTTTCCGAATCAAATTCAATCTTTTCCAAATCAAATTAAACCTTTCCCATTTCAAATTCAATCTTTCCCATTTCAAATTAAAGTATCGATTTTTTTTCTTCAAAATATGGGCCATTTTCTAAGATTAGGGTCTATTATTATGCTCACCTAAGTAGAGTTTTCCAAAATACTATCGATTTTATGTTAAACTTTCGGATATCGATTTATTGTACCTATTCGGATTTATTTGATGTAAGGGTCTAATATTATGTTATCGTGTGCCTAATTGTTGAAAATAATCTCCATTTTAAGATTACGCCATTGCATTTTTGACTTATTTAAGTTTTTCGTATTTATTCGATAACCTCCACGCTGAAAGGCACAAGAAGGAAGAAGAAGAAGTATTTATTCGATATAAGGATGTATTCTTGTTTCCGAAGCCGTAGATTTTGAAAATAACCTCCATTTTAAGATTGGCACTGCGTTTCGACTTACTTACTCTGTTTACTTATATGTTATTGGAGACGTAGTTTTTGAAAACGACCTCCATTTTAAGATTATGCCACTGTGGTTTGGTTTATGTAAGTTTTTTGACTTATTCGGTATAAGGATCTATCGGTTGTCGGATACGTAGTATTTGAAATTTATCTCATTTCTAATATTTAATCTCCATTTCAAGATTACACGGCTGCATCTCGATTAATTAATTTTTTTTTTAAATTTATTTAATACAAAGTTTCATCAATATGTTTTCGAGTATAAACAAATAAATATTATGAAGCTAAGGTTAAATTAACCACAAAACACAAATTAAGAATCCGAAAAAGCAACAGTAATAAATTTAACCACCGATTTTCAGATTTTTTCAGATAATCGTTCGAAATTCTTACCTTATAATTGTGTAAGACGATACCACAATATTAAAAATAAAAACTAAATTAAATTTGAAAATGAGAAAATAGATATTTTATTTATTTCGGCTGAAAAATAAATTAATCCTTCTTAACTTTTTAACTTCGAAGGAAACATAAAAAAAACTCAAAACAAACCAAAACGCAGTGCCGTAATCTTAAAATGGAGGTAATATTCAAACATTACGTCTCTGATAATATATAAGTAGACCCATCCTAAGAAAAAATTAAATATGAGCAAACGCATCTTAAAATGGAGGCTATTTTGAAAAATAACTTCTCAAGGACAATATATAAGTAGACCCTTACATCGAATAAATTCGAAAAACTTAAATAAGTCAAAACTCATTGGCGTAATCTTAAAATAGAGTAATTTCCAAAATCTATGGCTCCGGAAACATCTGAATAGACCTTAATATCAAATAAATTCGAAAAACTTAAGTAAATCAAAACGCAGCGTCGTAATCTTAAAATGGAGGTCATTTTCAAAATCTACGGCTCCGATAACATATAAGTAGACCCTTACATCTAATAAATTCGAAAAACTTAAATAAGTCGAAACGCATTGGCGTAATCTTAAAATGGAGTTCATCTTCAAAATCTACGGCCCCGGAAACATATGGATACACTCTTATATGGAAAAAATCCGAAAAACATTAAGAAGTCGAAAGGCAGCGGTGTAATCTCAAAACGGAGGTCATTTAGAAAAATAACTTCTCAAGGACAATATATAAGTATACCCTTACATCGAATAAATTCGAAAAAATTAAATAAGTCGAAACGCAGTGGCGTAATCTTAAAATGGAGGTAATTTTCAAAATATACGGCTCTGCGAACATAAAAATACACCCTTATATCGAATAAATCCGAAAAAACTAAATAAATCGGAACGCAGTGGTGTAGTCTTAAAATGGAGGCTGTTTTCTAAAACTGCTCATACGATAACTGACCCATGCATCGAAAATTAAAAATAATTAAATAAATAACAAAAGGTTGAATTTGATTTGGAAAAGGTTGAATTTGACTTGGAAAAGGTTGAAATTGACTTGGAAATGGTTTAATTTGAAATGGAAAAGGTTGAATTTGACTTGGAAAAGTTTAATTTGATTTGGAAAATGTTGAATTTGATTTGGAAAATGTTGAATTTGACTTGGAAAAGGTTTAAATTTGCCTTGGAAAAGGTTGAAATTGAATTGGAAATGCTATACACTATTGATACTGGACAACCACAATCTTATGTCAAAAATATATTTTAATACAAATGATTATTACAGGCTTCCTCTTTGTATTTGTTCCAATCGTTTCTCTTTGTATATCTTAACGGGAGAAAATAAGGTGAAGGTTGTCCTTCAAGTTTGCAATTCATTTAGTTGTTTGATAATAGCAAAATTGATGTTCTGTTGCACGTTTTCTGTTTTTGTAAAATTATAGTTTTTCAATATTTATTTAAATTATCTATTATAAATTAATTTTAGTTTATTTATTTCTTAATATGTCTTCTACTGATAAAACTGGAGCAACTCAGGCTCCTAAAGGATTTGAGGCATTGAAATCTCACATAGTAACTCATAAAATTGATGTTGGGTTATGGTGCACTAGAGTTCTTACAATATTGTTCACCTTTGCTTATTTTGTTCCCTTATTTGGGTAAGTTCTTTGATATTAATTCATTTATTATTTTTAAAATTATTATTTTCTTGATTTTTTTTACTTTAGCTTCATCTTATGTGGTACTATTTTTAAGATAAGTCAAAATTGGTACTAGTTCAGAAGTGTTATGTCTGATTGACTGGCCATATTTTAGATACGATTCTGAAAGGGTTCGAATATGGACAACTATGTTCACTCAAGAGATAAACAAAACCTCAGTGGGTCCTTTTCAGTTGAGGTCAAGACCTTCGGATGCACCAAATTACTTTAGGGATTCTATGGACAGTGTGATCATTGTGATCTCCTACCAGTCAGAGATGACACTTTTAAACTAGTATATTTTTTTAAATAAATTAGTACTGAGGACGTCTTTATATATCATTTTTCAAAATGAAAAATGTCTGTGTCTAGCATTTGATTTATTTCCTATCTATTAACAATTATATAATATAAGTTAAAGTTTTTATAGTTTATTGTTGTTTTTTTTATACAATTATGATAGTATCAGTTCTTTCTAAACTGGATATTTCTGATTCAATTAGTTACATTTATTTTTATTTTTTATAAAACATTCTTTATAAAACCTTTACTATTAATATCATTCAATTTATTTGTGTATTTTTATTTCTATTGAAAATCCATTATTTCATTATATCTCTCTTGTCTCACAGGAATACTTCTTGTCTTTGCTATAAGAATTTGTTTGAAAATTGGCCATCCTTATGGCTTCTATTCTATAAGATTAAAAGTTAATGTTTGTTTTATCATTGCCTAAGGCGTGGATTAACAAATCTAATGTTTCTTTTCTGAAAATGATCCAAATCCCTTATTCCATATATGTTGTGGAGAAACCTCACCATAAATATTATCCTTTAAAGCATGACTTGATATAATTATACAGTGAGTTTCAAATGCAATAACGTTTTTAAAATAAATCATTCCAAGTGAGGATTGATAATTATAGTGAACTAATTTTTGGGTTAGAAAATTTCTCTAATTTTTTTTAATGAATGTTTATTGGATTGTATTTACATATTGATTTTACTAGTATATTGAAACCTTCCTTTCCTTTATAAAATATTCAGTCTGACATTTGTTTGTACATGTATCTTCATTAGATTGACAGGCATTGTGTTGATAGCCAGTCAAAATTCCATTTTTAGTAAGAATGGTTGTTATTAATGCTTCGAGTTTTATTTATTTACTTTACTATGCCTTTAAGTTTGATTAGTAAATGGTATTAGTAAATTATTGGTGAAGTTTTCTTTCTTTTTTGCTCATGTTATACCATTTTATGTGTATGTATTATTTTTTTGTTTAAACCTTATATATCAGTTAATGGTAGTTCTTGAGAAAATTTAATACATTGAGATTTTTAATGCTTTAAAATTGTTTCTAGTTTATACAACCCCTTAAAGGGTTTATGATAATCCATGTTTGAATATTCAGTAGTTGCTTGTTGTCCTTTTTTTATCAGTATTGTCCAATATTATTTTATGGATTTTGTGTAAAATTGGTTTTACATCACTGTTATCTCTTGTAAAATATAGCTTATTTTAATATTAAAATTATTTAAAAAAATATAAATTTATAAATTGTTGCATTAGAATATATTTGCTGTTGTTCGGTGATATCTAATCTATTTTATGAGTATTTTGTTCTCTAATTATCTATTTTTTAGCTTCAATATTAACTAAAGTGTTAAAATTTAAATGTTTTTTTGTTGATTATATTTTATTCTCAACCTTCAGTAGGACGACATATTCAATTGTGATGAGTTCTCATTGAAATCATTAACTGAATAATGAGATGCTAATATTATTGTCACATGTAGTTTCTATTGAAAGTTACAATTAATTTTTTTTCTTGTTTAACTTGGTGGGAATTTCATACATATAAATTAAAAAAATGACCATCATATTTATTGGTTATCAATAAATAAAGTGTCAAACATTTGACTTTTCACCGTCTTCAAAACAGAAAAAAATATTTTTATTTTTTATACAGGTTGTCCCAAAAGTAATGGGAAATATTTAAAGGGGTGATAGAAGACCTCAAGATCAACAAAAAAGTTTTTATAAACCATGGTATGGTTTTCCATAAAAAAACAGAAAATAAAAGTTATTTTTAATTAAATCACATCTTTTGTTAAATAGGAGGCCATAAATAAAAATAATATTTAATTAAGGCAATAACCAATAGCTTCATAGTAAACTAAACAAAATTTTTCTTTAAATGCTACATTTTATCAATGTTAAACTCATTTAAAGGGGACTTTTATGTGGCTAAGCTTTGTTTTTCTCACAGTGGTTGATTATTCTCAGTACTATTTTTATCACCCTCTAACGTCCTTGTTTAATAAGCTTTAAGGCCATATTAGTTCATTTGAGATTAATATCAGGTTCTGTAAAAAATGATGGGATTTGATATCTTGTCAGCTAAAAGTACCCCTTTCAGCAAAAATTATAATAAATTATTGCAAAGCTATAGGATCTTTTTAATATATATATATATAATTCAAGTCATCAACATTTTGCCAATTCAGGCATCATCAGTACAGAAAACACAAGAAAACCAAGATCACATCACTCCATGACATCCAACCGCATACTGGATGAAACATAGAGGTAACAGGTGTGTTATAGGACCCCCTGTATAAGGATATTTCTCTTACCAAGTATAACTTTATATTTGTCATAAATGGGTTTAAAAAAAGGTAAAAGCTCTCAACATCACTTTTTAGTTTAGTTCCTATCTACAAAACTTTACAGGTGTGAATAACGATACTGTTAAATTTATGAATAGCGAGTTTTGGAATTACATTTGAGGTAGATTTTTTTAAGAATATTTTAATAATAGTAATTACGGTAAATATAATGTTTATATTGATACACTATTTGATTCAACTACACCACCATAATGAATTGTCTTTTGGAAAATAGATGCCTGATTATGTCCGATAATTCATAATTGACAAATATTACAGAACATAAAAAAAAAAATATGAATGGACAAGCTCAAATAATTGTAAAACACACTCTATAGCAGATGTTAGAGGAAGCTATCTAACTTTTGAATATTCTAAAAGTTTTGTAGTTAACATTTGCGTCTTCACAAAATTGTTTTAAAGTAGCAATATGAACTGTAAAACGGATAAAATACAAATAAATTGTCGTTAATATAACATCTACTTCAATTGGTATGGAAATTTAATTGTATACAAGTGGTAAAAATATAGCACAATATTTTTATCACATATATACATATTTTATTTATGTTATTAAAATACTACATACTAATAAGGGGGAAATTACACCAATAAATTATAACAACCTTGCTTTAATTATAAACAACATTTTTTTTCAATAAATGTGTATGGTATAGCCATAGAAGTGTATATCGGTCGCACACAGTTGTCAAAAGCATTTTGCCGCCATCATCTCAAAAATGTTTGCTTGGTAGGTATTTTACCATTACATACTACAGAGATATTACTCTCATTTTTTAGGATGGAAAAACCTAACGACACCCCGAATAAAAAATCGAAAGAGTCGAATGCCAAAATATATTGGTACTATCAATTCTTTAAATATATTAGGTTGTCTTGAAAATTTTGCAGGATTTTGAGTTTTCTTTAAAATATCCCTCTTTCTAACAAACTGTTTTCGTTTACTGGATTATTCATTTGTATGAATGTCAACATTTGTCAATCCTCTTCCCAAACTATAATGTTTGTTTACCTCTGTAGGATTTCGCTGTTTAGAAATAATTCAGTCTTTATTAACATGTCAACATGTGATTTTCGTATAATTTTGTTATATGAGTTTAAACCTCTCATGATGATGATGTTCTGCGGGCTTTGGTTGAAGAAAACCCCAGAACAACTGTTCGAGAACTTGTAGGGAAACTTAACCATAGCAAATCAACCGTCGATGACCACCTCAAGGAGATTGGAAAGGTGAAAGTTGGATTCCACACACATTAAGTGACCACCAAAAAAACCAGCATTATGAAGTTTGTGCTACACTTCTTTGCTAAACAAAAACGACCCTTTTCTGTCCAGAATTGTTATTTGTGATGAAAAGTGGATACTTTACGATAACAGTAGACGTTCTGGACTGTGGCTTTACAAAGGAGAAGCAGCAGAACATTTTCCAAAACCCGCAACTCATCAAAAAAATATGATGGTTACTGTTTGGTGGGCTTCATTTAGTTTGATACTCTACAGCTTCTTAAATCCTGGAGAAACCATCAATGCCGAATAATATTATGACCACATTAATGAAATGCATCAAGAATTGGCAATAATGAACCCATCTTTGGTCAATCGGAAGGGGCCTTGACAACGTATTGCATGAAAACGCCCGGCTACATGTCTCACGTGTAATTTTACAAAAACTGTCTGAGCTTGGATATGAAACTCTACCACATCCACCCTACTCTCTGGACCTCTCGCCTACGGATTATAATTTTTTTAGACACCTAGATCACTAATTACATGACAAAACATTTAATTGACAAGCGGAATTAGGAAATGCGTTTTTGGAGTTAATCAATTCTAAAGATGGGAAATTCTATTCCGAGGGAATGGAAAAGTTGCCAACACATTAGCAGAAATGTATTGATAGTAGTGGAGACTATTTTGATTAAATAAAACAGTTGTAATTCTTTCTTTTTAAACCAAAATCCTACATTATTTTCCAGACAACCTAATAGTGTCTAAAATTGTCTATAATTCTGGATTGATGATTGACTGTAGTGAATAATTGAAGAGAAGAATGTTTGGAGTGACAGTCAAAAAAAAAAGAACTAAAGATGAATGAGTATATTTATTTTTGCCGACGTTTCGGACCACAGTTCAGGCCTTCATCAGGGCTGGTCAAACGAAAGATTTCCTCAAGACTCTTAACTATTATGTATGTATATTATGTTTTTGTAACTATTATGCCATAAATTTTATTCACAAAAACGCATTTTTATTTTTTTTTATTTTGTGA